GCTCTTGATAGGTTTAATATTTCGAGCTGAAATTTTTACTGTGAGGTCATCATACCTAGATACACCATCTCTGAAAGTTTCATTAAGATCGGATGCTCGTAAGCAGAAATGGATTTTTGGGTGGGGGCTGGACCTTAATACGTGGGCGGTGTAGACCGACCACTATGCAGTTTTGTAACCTGATATCTCAGACTGTTCCATCAGTACAGCATATCTTTCGAATTGTATTTTGTCTATCCATACAAAGATAGGCGAATAGTAGTACGAAAGGGATTTTGGACTGTTTCATATATTTCGAGGTACAATGATTCGTCTTAATACGAAAAGTTTCAAAAATACTTCTCTTGCTCAACATGTCGAATAAAAAAAATCAAATTTTCTCTATTTCTCCGGGGAAAATGCATGTCTTACGATGCATGTGTTTAAAAAATAAAAGAATCGGTAAAGAAAGTATTTCATAAAGTATTATTCAAATATTAGAATAAAATCCAAAACCATTCTCATTTTATGATGCTCCTTCAGCCATTCCGAATGAATGATTCGGAATGAATAATTCGGAATAAATAATGAGTTTATTCATCAACTCCTTCTCCATTACAAGATGGTGGATTAATTACACCTCGCATTCAAATATACTTTATTCTCTTACTATGAATTTTGACTATATGCCCTTTGATGCAATCAGATAAACAATAATTTAAATGCATTAAAAAATCTTGAGAAATTTTATATTTTAGAGTAGAATATAGAATAGACGCAAGAATCATTTTTCGAAATCAGAGAACTATTAATTATTGAATAAACTAGTGGAAATAGAAATTCTCTTTAAGAATATCATTATAGTTGATTTTGTGCATGCAAGCGTCTTTACATGAGTGACGGGAATAGCAGTCAAAATCTGTTTTAGGAAAAATAAAAATTTCAGAATAGAATTTCACAAATCACAACTTTTAGATACGAGAATAAACGTTATCTTGTATGGCGCAGATCCAAAACGCTCCTTGTATACGCTATAGTTAAATAAATTTTTGTTCGTAATACGAGCCAAATATGAGACTAGTGACACAATGGAACATATATCAATAGGTACGTTAACATTTGCTTTTCTTCTCTTTGTTTGTTTGTACGTGTATGTGTATTAAATCTTTCTCATTTTTATTTTTTTTATTTTCGAATAAAATCAGTTGAGATATTCATCATCTATAAATCGACCGTTATATTCAAAATAGATATGGTCTACATCTATTCTATGAAAATATGAATAAATAATAAAAATATATTTTGCACTCTCCCATACACAAACATAACGTTCATCTTGTTTGTGGACAAAATACATAAAATTATGGTTTTATCAATTATTATAAAAAATTCTATTTGTCAAAATTCAGTCGTCAATTGAAATATCTAAAAATTGATGCTGGTGTTGAACTATTTATAAATGATGAAAAAAAACTGATGAGAGCATCGCGGAGATAAAATACGATGCCACTATAGAAAAAACGAGAATAAAAAATTAGTTTATTAATTCTAGAATAGTGCACGTTGTTGACATTCATCAAAATGGTGTGAATTGTACAAAAGATAATAATTTGGTGAACATGAGAAAGGTAGACATTTCCTCATCTGATTTTTGAATTCACAAGTGTGAAGCTCTTTGATGATATTGTTCTAGTGTCTCACAAACTGTTTTTACTAACTAAAGATGCTCAACGAATCAGCCTCAAGTAATTCTTACTATTAATAAATTTTATCTCAAAACGTTTACATATAGAAAAAATCAGGAGTCTAACGTCGCGCCGAAATACGACTATTTGTGCTCAAAAGTTTTCCCAACGAGTAGATAAAATTAGATTTTTGAAAGAAAATAGAAATTCAATTAAACTGAATTTACTTCTCTTGTTTCAGGTTGACAGATATTCAATATTAGTTTAGTATGTCAGAAAAAAAATCAATAAATATGACACATGATTATAAATTTCAATCTGCACCTAATTTTTATACAGGAGAATTTGGTTGTATTAGGGTTTATGAAAATAATAATAGACATCTTCATCATTATTTATCCACTCCATCTATCACCTCAACTTATGTTAATTCCAATAATACCATATTCCCTGATTGTCGTATTACTAATCGCAGTTTATCAAAATACGATCAACTTGATTTAGATGTTGCACGATCATTTCTCAATGTCCCATCGGACGCCATTTCTTACGTGTCAATTCCCATGCACAATGACTGTAATCGAATGATGATGTTACCATCATATACCACAACGACATCAGGACCAACACTGCAATCATCAGGGAAGACAACATTAACACAAAGTCCATTACCATTACCGTTTAGTACAGGATTAACATCTACTCAACTACCATTTCAGACTACCCTTGTACCAAACCAAATATCTTATCCATTAGCTATCAGTGATGCATATTCTTCAAATCTAACTTTACCATCTTACTCCGAAGTTGGTAAAGTTGGATATCCAGTCAATACAAATATTATGCCAATGTACTACGATTTAATCATTGATACCGTTACAGATTATGATAGTGTGTAATATTTTTTCAAATCTCTTTTGAATTCACGACTCACTCTGTCAGTTATTGTTGTATACAGCATTGAAGAGTAGTCATTCTAGCTATAGAGTTTGACGTAGCTGATGCAACCAGATTTGTTATATCTATGCGTAGTTTCTTTCTCTATTTATCGTTTAGTATTTTACCCTGTTGCTCAACAAACCGAAAGATACGATTATAACCAAAATGATGATCATGTAGCTTCAGAATCAACCAGATCCGACATATATTTAAATGGGCGTGTAATTAATAATAATGCATATGGATGTGAAAATAATTATTCTAAACAACAACAATTAGTATCTGGCGACCCATATCAAGATGGATCACCTTTTTTCAATAATGACTACGACAATAAACCAGACTTTTCATATCCACGATATAGTGTGCAACGTTTAGATGAGCTTACTGCCTCGATGCATTTTCAAGATACAAACTATGACGGATATGATAATAATAATGTAAATCCATTCTCTGATATTACAAATACGCATTTCAATGAATCGAGTGAAAAATATCTTCTTAGAGAAGATGACTACCAACAATCACAACTGCCACAAACAATACCCCTAGAAAAACCACAATTGTATGATCGGTTAGTTCAATCATCGAAAAACGTTCGATTTAATGATACTCCCTCGTGGATACTGCTCTCTCAAGAAGCAGAAAATCTTCAAGACCAGCACGAAAAAATTCATTACAAATCTTCCATTAGGTCACCTCAATCTGTCAGTAATAATGTCATTTGTCGGAGAAACCTGCCCAGCGACTATCCTCTAAGTAATCAATACTATTTCCACAATAATAATGAAACATCAACTGATCACTCTCGTTATCCATCATCAACAGAAGAAAAAACCATTCTATCATCGAATGTACGTTACATATACAGGCCATTTTTTTGGTTTAGACCTGTTACCGATCAAAACATGGGTATTTGTATTCCTCACACTAGACCTACGTTACATGCTTCTTTAACTGGTCCACATATGAATAAAACTTATATGAACAATATTTACGTATCGAATGACGTTCGATTTTAACAATTAACTTGTGTGTATTCTTCACCAAGTTTCAATTGAAAAAAATTAAGTGTTCGCTAGTTGCTTTACGATTTATGAAGAAGATACAAGTGACAAATAGAATAATTTATACTTTTATACACATCATAGTGTCTCCTCAAAGATCAAAATCTCAAATGCGACAAGAGCCTTCAAACAAAAATGCTCATCTTTGTATTCTTCTTCATAAAAGAGAGTGAACCATTAAGAATACTGGTTTCAACCGTTTGCGAGACATCTATTTCGTGCTAGGATCATGATCCTATATTCCTTCTAATGAGAACAATTAATGTGTCTTTTATATAAATTATTCTACTCGAAATATGTCGAATTATTTGATGACAATGTTCCATATTAATTATGAGATTTAATGCTGGGTTCTCGTAGATTCTGTTTACTTTATTATTGTCTCAACCGTTGAGCTCAATATAGTCTCATCTTCAGTGACTTAGATGTAACAACGACAAATAACTGCAATACATGTACATAATTATTGTTCATCCAAATGAACTGTGGGCTTGGTTATATTCTGAATAACTGTTGATAGAACAATGGTAGAAATCTGCAGTTTTCACTTTTGGAAACTAGACACTTAATGCTACATTTCGATAAACAAAATCGAAGTCAGTTTTTCAGATAGGCTTTGAAATCTCTGCTAACTGACATAGACATAGGTCAACTTCTTTTTATAGATATATAGTTCAAAGTGTTCTCTACAAAACTGCACCTAAGCGACATCTTGAAAATCCATGATTCGGGGCTATGAACGTTTTTCCCAAAGCCTTAGCATTATACTGCTGTTAAGTTTGTGACTGTGAGAAATGACTGATAACATAGGTTATCGACTAGTTTTCAGAACAAAATGCCAGAATCGAGTGAAAACATATGAATAATTCATTTCTGATTAGTTTCGTCAAAAATTAAAAACTTCATAACTCAGTCAAAATCCATCCAACCTACTTCAGAATGTCAAGATATACTCTATTATATCTGCAGCACATCGTAAAGCTCAATAAATGTTGTAAAAACTAATAGAAAATATTTCGATTTTCAGAAAGGTTTCGCAGAAATCTTCGGAACTAACAGAATACTTCTTAATGATTCTACGTACAGAATCAGAATGAGTGGACAAAATAGAGTATATCTGGACATTCTGAAGTAGGTTGGATGGATTTTGACTGACGAGGGAAGGTCACCAACTGCCACCTCGCTTTTTAGCTCTAAACTAGTGGGTAATAGGTAAAAAAATGTGCTGAATCCGAATATGACAATGGTTTGGGCCGCTAGGCCTCCAAAGACTGG